CTGGGAGGAACCAAACCAGCTTCAAATGCTAACAATTTAAACAGCAGTAGCTCCAAGTTTATAGCACAAAAATAAACATTTGGCCTTCAATTCTATGTAACTGTAACACTGAAGGATAGATACTAGTTAGGACGCTGCATCTAGCCTCATAGGTTTACCCAGAACTGCCAAGTGTAGGATGGGGCTTGGGGTCCCCTGACTTCATGCTGTGCTGCTTCCACCTCCTTATTAACTCCTGGCTCATCACCCTGGGGACTGTCAACCTCCTTTCTACCCACTGCCACCCCCGCTGGGGCCCACCCACAGCTACATTAGTTTGCTAGGGCTGCCTTAACAAAGCACCATGGACTAGAAATTTATTGTCTCACAGTTCTGGAGGCTAGAAGTCCAAAATCAAAGTTTCTGAGGCTGCTTGTAAATGGTGTCTTTTCCCTGTGTCTTCACATGGTCTTCCCTCTGTGTGTGCTTGTCTGGTGTCTCTCCCTTCCTCTCTCTCTCTGTCCCTATCTCCTTCTGCACCCCCCAACCCCCATGTGTGTATGTGTGTGTGTGTCCTAATCTCTTCTTATAAGGTCACCTTAGTATCTTAGATTGGATTAGGGCCCACCCTAATAGCTTCACTTTAACTTAATTCCTTCTTTTAAGGCCCTATTTCCAAGTACAGTCATATTCTGGGGTACTAGGGGTTAAGGCTTCAACATATGGATTTGAGGAGACACAGTTTAGCCCATCACAGCAGCCCTCCCTCCACGTAGCTCCTCTGAATAGATGGTCTTCTCTCTCCAGAGGAGATCAATCTGACCTCTTGTAGAAGCCCTTTCCTCTTCCCTTGTGAGGCTCTGTCTTCCCAACATTCATGGACAAAGAGGGGCAGGACTTGGCATCCCATTACCATCTGGTCTCCCTTCCAAGGGATTCTGCTCTCTGAGCTCTCCCCACTAGCATACTGCTCTCCCACTAAATCCTAGCCCTCTGCTTTCTAGCCTGTCCTCTTCTCTCTTCTCTCTCACTTCAAAAGAAATTTTAGCTTGACATCCTCTTCTGTTACCTTGTTTATCTTAGTCCTTTCACCTCCAGAATTCTTGACTACCTAGTTGACCCCCCTTCCCCATTTCCTTGAAAATCTCCTCTGGAGTGACTTTGGACCAGGCTGTCCCACTGAGCCTGGCCTCTCCAGTATCACCATCACTCCATACTGGTCACACCTGGAGCTCTTCCCAGCATCCATCCTCCTCCACCCTTGTTTGTGGTGACATTCCTCTTGCTCTCGGGGTTCCTCCACAGCCCTCTCCTTCATCTTAGCTTCCTACGTGGGCATCGCCTGGGATCGGGCCCTGGCCCCTTCTCATCTTTCATCACAATCTCTTTCCCCCCAAAATTGACTCATCCTCACAGTTTCCTTTATAATTGCATTTTTTTATTCTGAGATCTTCTGCTTGCAGTCTCTATCAGTCTCTCTCTAGAATTCTGATCCTGGGCTTCTAACCTACAAATAGATTCAAGCCAAGATACTCATATTTTGCTCCCAATTCCATCTTCCTCCAATATGATTTTCCCCAGGCATCTAAGCAATAAATCTCAAAGTAATCTTTGTACCTACCACTTGTTTGGCACATACATTCTTTTAACTTCTTCTCTGTCTCTATTTGTGTCTTCTCTTCTGCGTGGATCTTGACCAGTACCTTCCAAGATATGGCAGTTGCCTCGTAATTGGATATCTGTCCCTCAAGAGCTGGGAAGACCTGTTGGGGTCCTCTAGCTACTGTTTGTATGAGGACTCACTGTTCACTCAGGACAAAAGCCTAGCTCTCAGACTGAACATTCAAGATTGGCACTGTTCAATAGAACTTTCTGGGATGATGAAAATGTCCTATGTCTGCACAACATGATAGCTACTAGCCACATATGGCTATTGAGCACTTGAAATGTGACTAGTATGAATGAGGAAATGAATTTTAAATTTTCTTTAAAGTTGCAAACCATCTTCACACCACTGCTTTCTAATATCAGCCTTATGTTCTGACCAACCTCTGCTAAACATCACCTAGATCCTCAGCTTTTGGTCACTGTTTCTTACCTGTGGGCTCCTCTCCCTTCTCTGGCCTTCAGATCCATCCCATGCCCCACCTCTTTGCCACTAACCATCTCAACCTGAAGTGTTTTCTGTTTCTCCTTCATTTGAATAGCCACATCATATTGTCGATAGCACATCCTTTTTACTAAATTTCTATTTAACTTTTATTTTGAACTAATTTCAGACTTACAGAAAAATTGCCAAAATAGTTTAATTCTTATATACCTATCATCCAGATTTTTCAAATGTTAACATTTTATCATATTTGCTTTTTCACATATTTTCTCTCTTCCTCTCTGTGTCTCTCTTCCTCTCTGTGTCTCTCTTCCTCTCTGTGTCTCTCTCTCTCTTCCCCCTACTTCTAACACACACACACACACACACACACACACACACACACACACACACACACACACACACACATTATATGGACAGTTTGAAAGTAAGTTGCACATATGATACCCTCTACACCTAAATGCTTCCATATGTATTTCCTAAAAACAAGAATAATCTCTTTTTTTTTTCTTAAGTGGGAGTCTCACTCTGTTGCCCAGGCTGTAGTGCAATGACACGCTCACGGCCACTGCAGCCTCAACTTGCTGGGCTCAGGCGATCCTTCTACCTCAGCCTTCCAAGTAGCTGGAACTATAGGCATGCGCCACTACACCTGACTAATTTTTTTTATTTATTGTAGAGATAAGTTGCCTAGGCTTGTTTTGAACTTGTGGGCTCAGGCAGTCTTCTCACCTCGGCCTCCCAAAGTGCTGGGATTATAGGTGTGAGCCACCATGCCTCGCCTAACTTTTTTTTATTTATTGTAACGATGAGGGCTGGCCAAGTTGCCCAGGCTGGTCTCGAACCCTTGAACTCAGGCAATCCTCTTCACCTCTACCTCCTAAAGTGCTGGGATTACAGGTGTGAACCACTGCACCCAGCAAGAATAATCACTTATAAAGCCACAAAACAGAGAATTAACACTGATACAACACTATCATCTAATTTATTGACTTTATTCATTTGTTGCCAGTTGTCATAAACATGTCCTTTGGACCACACATCTTGACATTTAAGACTTTGAGCCTTGATGTCTTATATTTGTTGTGTTTTCTCCCCTCAGTTCCCAGTTAGTAGTGTGTAGTGATTGATATTTGCCTGGCACATAGTAGGCTCTCAGTAAATTTTTAGAGATGGAAATGGACAGATGGATAATGCCAGGGTGAACTTGGTGGAAGCAGGCCTCACCCCAGACTTAACCAGTAGTCTTGAGCTCTGTGATCTCAGAAGTTCCTGTCAGGGATGACTGCCTCACAGCAGTCCCCCTGGGGCATTCAGCTGGGTAGCAGCACTCCTCTCATTGTTGAAATGTGCAACCCATAATATAGAAGTTAGTGAACATGCCTGTGGTCACAGAGCAACTCCACATCCTAGCCAGGATATAGCACTGCTTCTCCCTAATCTGCAGAGGTGAACTATGTGGATGAATAATGATTAATACTAATCCATTTATTCATTCAACCAATAGTTATTGAGTGCCTACTATGTGCCAGACACACTGGGTATGCAGCAGTGAGCCAAAGAAAGTTCCCCTGCCCTCCAAAAACTTACAGTTTAGGGGGAGGAGAAGAGCAGAAAATAAATATATAGTTTGTTGTCACATGGGGACAAATGCCATGGGGGAGATAATAAAGCGGAGTATAAGGGTGATAAGGGTTACTTGGGGTGGGGCTGCTATTTGTATAGGGTAATTAGGGAAGACCTCATGGGTGAAGTGACTTTTCTTATTTTTTGTATTCAAGTATAATTTCTCTGCAGTAAACTTCACCCCCTTTAGTGTACATGATTCTGTGAATCTTGGCAAACTCACATAGTCAAGTTATTAGCACCACAGCCAAGATATGACCCCGATGCCTCAAAACATTCCCCTGTGACCCTGTGTAGTCAGCTACTTCCCCACTATACCTCTTGCAACCATTAATTTGTTCTCCAATCTCTAAGGTTTTGTCTTTTCTAGAATTATACAACACGTAGCCTTTTGAGTCTGGCTTCTCTGAGCAGGAAAGAAGGATAAGTCATTGAGACTTGTACACATTATGTGTATCAGTAGTTTGTTCCTTATGGTATCAAGGTACCACAGTTCATCCATTGGCCAGCTGAGAGACATTTAGATACCTTCTAGTTTTTGACAATTATAAATAAAGCCACTCTAAATATGTGCATACAGGTGTTTGTGTGCATGTAGGTTTTGGTTTCACTGGGATAAATAGGTTAGATGACTTTGGAGCAAAGACCCAAAGAAATAGGAAAACAAATCATGAAGATAGTAGAGGATATTTTTGCACGTGCATCATATTGTTATTTAGCCAAATGAATAGGTTTGTGCTGCCAAACTTTCTTGTTTGGGTCATTTTTCTTATTTGAGTTATTTGGAGGAAATGAGCATAGGGAGAAGGCCATTCATTCTTTCATTCATTCATCCATTCAACAACCATTTTTTAAAAATGAAAGCCACTAGTCCACAGTATGTGACCCAAAGGAAGCCTGAGACCCTTGGATCCACACCAAAGGCTAATTTTAGTTGGTTTATCTGACATAATTTCCTTTCTGAGTTTCCTGAAAGTTAGGGTGAGCAAGTAGTTAGTGAGTTTGAGATTATCGTCTTCGAATAGGGCTATGGGAGTTTAAGCAATTTTGAGAGTGTATATCTCATTAAAGGCTCCAGGGACCTCTCCAAAGTCCCCTGAGAACTGATACTTATTTGATTGTGAGGCTGTCTTTGTGGAAGGGCAAGGAGATTGCTGGAAAGACATATTCAAGTAAGGGCTCTCCCTGGATGAGGGGCCAATGGGCAAGACTGCATCCTCCTGGGATCAGGAGCTTTGTGAAAAACAGAACTACAGAAAATAACTTGTGAACTTCTTGGTTTCAGGTGATGCTACTGTGAAGAAGAAACCCGCCCCCAAGACACCTCCAAAGGCAGGTAATTGACTGCATCAATATCTGGGGACAAAAGAATCATCTACCACTAAGGGTTTTTGCGTTACCTTCTAGATTGACCACCTGGGTATGTGGTCCCAGGAGGCACCCCACTCTAACCCTGATTCAAGCTCTGCATGAATTTGCTCCATGACATGGTTCTACACAGCCTGGTCCCTCCCCCTCTCCCACTGCTTTGTGTAGATGACCCTCTGGGTGCTGTTTCTGCACTCTGCTCTCTATGTTCAGCCATTGTCTGTTTTCCATTGAGACACTTGAGGATGTGATATCAAGCCTGTCAGCCAGGAGGTTAACCTGGAGGTTAGAAGGCAAGGTGCAGCCAGGCTCGGTAGCTCAGCCTGTAATCCCGCACCTTTGGGAGGCTGAGGTGAGTGAATTGCCTGAGCCCGCGGGTTCGAGACCCGCCTGGGCAACTTGGCGAGACCTCATCTCTACAATAAATCAAAAATTAGCCGGGCATGGTAGTGTACACTTGTAGTTCCAGCTACTTGGAAGGCTAAGGCGGAAGGATCGCCAGAGCCCAGCAGGTCGAGGCTGCGGTGGCCGGAAGCGGCCACTGCACTCCAGTCTGGGCGACAGAGTGAGACTCCAACACAAAAAAAGAAGGCAAGGTGCTGCGTAATTAATAATAAGTTAGGACATCGACTGAAAAAAAATGGTAAGACAACCAATAAGTGGAGAATTATGCCATGTAAATTGTGTGGGTCACTTCTGAGGGAGAACAGAATAAAGAGGTGAACAAACCTAGCAGGTACATAAGCTCAGATGTTTTAGAGCAAGGATCACTGGCCTCAGCCTGAGCCAAAGGTTCTGGAAGTCAGAGAGAAGCCGACAGATCACTGTGGATGGACCGTGTCAGATGAGATCAGAATGTCTGAGGCTCCCTCTTTCTTGTTTACTTTCTTCCCCTCCTCCCTCAGCAATGATGCCCCCTCAGATCATCCAGTTTCCTGAGGACCAAAAGGTGCGCGCAGGAGAGTCCGTGGAGCTGTTTGGAAAAGTGACAGGCACCCAGCCTATCACCTGTACCTGGATGAAGTTCCGAAAGCAGGTCAGTTGTGGACGGAAGTGGCCCAGGAGCAACCCACACAGCCCCAGGGCCAAAAGGGATGAGAAATGCTCAAATGGAAATGGCCTCACCCTGCATCACTTTAGAAACCCATCCATCATCCACCCACCAAACCTGAATTCTCACGAGCCTTTTCTTCTGGATATCACCCCTGCTTTATAGACAATTTTTCTAGTAGAGAACAGCATGAAGGAAAAACTCAAAACCATTCATAGCCCCCATCTGGTTTAGATACCAAGAAGATTGAACCAATGACCTAAGATAACCTCTCAGACGACATGAGCTTTCTGTGATTCTGTGCCACTCCACTGAGTCCTGTCTGTGATAACAGCTTAAACTTGCCATGGGCTGAAGGGACTAAAGAGAATCTGAGTGTTTGGACAGATAAATTGCATGGCAAATAGAATTTTGGTTTACTGACCCAGAAATCTAGCTAGCTATGGTTCATATTAATGGTTCCTCTGGGGAAGTGTTTGAATTTCTAAATAACCAGCTTTGAAAGGACCTTCAAGTGCCTGGTGGTTCCGCTGGCCTCATGTTGGTAGCATGTACTCGTATGCATGAGCAGCAGAGACCCCGGCATGGTGGGCTGGCACTCTGCAGAAGGTGTAAAGATATTCTGAGTTCCCTGTTGTTCTGTTTCCAAGTCATTCCAATTATCCTAGGACCAAAGATGAGAAGCTAGTATTACCAGGGAAGAAAGTAGAATTGGTCTCAAAAGATGGAGGTGAGATATTAGCACCCCAGAGCACATTTGTGACCTGTGTATGGGCTACTATTGTCTGAAATAAAATGAAATCTCCTCATTTTCAGAGACATTTAGCCAAGTCACAGCTCCATCAGAATGCTTGCAGTGTAGAAATAATCTGTGTCCATACTGTCCAGTATGGTAGCCACTAGCTATATGGGGCTACCAAGTACTTGACATGTGGCTAGTACAACTGAGGAACTGGATTTCAAATTTTAATTTAATTGTTATAACAGTTTTGTGTTGAGATATAATTCAAATGCCATAAAATTTACCCTTTTTAAGTGTACATCTCGGAGGCTTTTGGTATGTTCTTGAGATTGTGCAAGTTTCACCATTATCTAATTCTAGACTATCTTCATTGCCCCAGTAAGAAACCCCAGACCCATTAGCAGTCATTCCTTCCCTTCTCCCAACCCCTGACAACCACTAACCTACTTTCTGCCTCCATGAATTTGGCTGTTCTGGACATTTCACATAAATGGGATCATACAGTATGTCATCTTCTGCATATGGCTTTTTAAAAATCATTTAGCATAATGTTTTCAGGGCTCATCCATGTTGTAGCATGAATTGATACTTAATTCCTTTTTATGGTTGAATAATATCCCATTGTCTGGATAGACCACATTTTGTTTATTTGTCCATGAGTTGATGGACATTTGGATGGTTTCCACTTAATTAAAATTTAAACAGCGACATGTGGCAAGTGGTTATGCTCTGGACTGCCCTGAAGAGTTAGAACCCACTGGGATGGGCGTTGTGAATGACCTTACTCAGATGTGTTCTCTTATTAACCCATCCCAGAGGGGTGAGGGGAGATTGGAATGCTCCTAAACTGAGACCGTTCATCCTCCCTGCCCCTGCTTAGCACCCTTAGCATCCTCCCTGCCCACCCTTGATCTCTGGGCACCCTCAGAGAGGCTTGGCTCTGGATGCAGGAGAGGAGGGGCCTTAGGGGGGCGCACAGCGTCCAGATGAGACCAAGCCCCCCACAGCTTGTCAGCTGCATCCTTCAGGCAGTAGGGAGTGGGGAGGACCCGCCCTCCCTTTCCTGGCCCAAGGCTGCAGCATCTGCTCCACCCTGCATCCCCAGATCCAGGAGAGCGAGCACATCAAGGTGGAGAACAGTGAGAACGGGAGCAAGCTCACCATCCTGGCCGCGCGGCAGGAGCACTGTGGCTGTTACACACTGGTGGTGGAAAACAAGCTGGGCAGCAGACAGGCCCAGGTCAACCTCACTGTCGTGGGTGAGTCTGGGGTCAGATGGCATGGAGGCTGGGGTACTGGGAAGGCAGCAAGGCCCCACGCAGTACGTGTGAGCCTCAGGGCCTCATCACCTGATCTCTCTCGCTGCTACTATGCCTGATTGTTAGGGCATCACCGAAAAATCACATCAACCTCCAGGCTCACCGCTAGGCCCTCCTGACCTCCAGGCTCAGCTGGGGGTCAGTGCTGGTCAGAAAGCCTTTTCCTTGCCTCTGGCCAGCACCCTCTCCAATTCTCTGTGGTAGCTGCTCCTTAAGTTCCCCTGTCTGCAGGCCTTAGCCTGTAGCCTCTGTGACAAACATGACACATGAGGCATGAATTTGCTCAGCCTCCTGGCCACCACACCTGTGTCTGTATCTGTCCCCATCCTGACTCCACCCTCCAGGCTCTTGGGGATGGCCTGCCTTTTTCCCACTGTGGCTGCTTCCTTCTCCTATGCTCTCAATCCCAGGACCTCAACCTCTTTTTCTCTCCTGCTTCCTCCCAGCAGCCTATAAATGTCACCATCTTAGCCAAATGCACAGACGTGTATAACATCTGCAATATTTTGTCTCACTCTGGCCACCTACCTTCTCTTTCTCTCTCTTATCATGGTCAGACCCTCCAGTGGGAAAGTCTGTACTCTGATTCCGCTTCTTCACCCACCCTGGCACCCGCCAGTTCCTATGGCCTCACCCCCAATATCCCAGTAGTCTGCTGGGACTGCTCTTCTGACGTCACTTCCTAATCCTGACCCCACTCCCTCGTCCTTCTCACCTACATCATCCCAGTATTCAGTTGAGTCCATCTCCAGACTGATTCTCAAGTTCACTTTTTCCTCTATTTCCTAATCACTGTTCTCATGCCCTGGGCCACTGTCTCCTGGAACATCAAAATAGCTGGTCTCCTGCTGTTGGTCATGCCCAGATGCAAGTTGTTTCCTCATGTGGCAAGTACTTGGGACAGAGAGGAGCAAACAGGCAGAGGAGTAGACGGATGAAGAGTAGACTGTGTCTTGTGCATTTGTGGGCCTTTCTGTGTTGTGCACATAGAAACCTTTGACGTGGTGTTTTCAACATGTGCACGAGACCAGGGTAGGTATTCCAATTGACCTTGGCTTTCAAGCTTATAGGTACCTTGTGAAAATTAGAAAAAGGGGCCCCACTGGGCAGAGTGAAAGGACTGCACCTTTTTATGCAGTGCACACATCTCTCAACTATGTGTGCCAGCCTGACTTGACTCCCTGCTTGCTAGACTTTTCTCTGTGTGTTCCTAATACGCAACCTTGGGCACACAGAACCAAGGGATCTGTTAATGACAGGGCTCATGTGGCTATAGTGGCTGAGTCTTCCCCTGAATCTGTCTTGTGTAGGGATCTAGGCATGACGTTGCAAGTTGGGGAAAACTCTCAAGGTCTCTTGTAGCTCTGACATTCTGATTCCCTGACTCCGTTCTCTGTCATCCTATAATCCCATGACATTGTTCCCAAGCAGTTTTCTTCCCCTATCTTCATCTGGTATCCTCACCTTAGCGTTAGGATGGACAGAGCTGATGCTTCCAGCCTTACCAAGGGGAAATTGAGAACTGGTGTGAGCAAAGTAACAGTACACCAGGGTCCAAGTGGGAACTAGCTCTTGGGCTGCCAAACATCTGTCCTCCGGATGCCACTCACAGGAATGTGAAGTGAGTATGGAATGTCCCAAAAGGTAAAGGAACCTGGCTGAAAAATTCATCTTGAGGGGGGACATGCAGGCCTTTTGGGCAGCTGTCCATATGCCAGAGAGTTGTCAATGTCTACCCCCAAGTTTTCTCATGCTGAACTTTGAGAAGCCCTGCAGCATCTCCCTCCAGCCCCTAAGCAGTTGGGGAAGAGGAAGTCCATGTCTAACCAGGTGAATAGGGAAGATGTGAGGACAAAGGTCAGGGTAAAGCAGAGGTGGGAAGCCAAGTGAGGTGGCCAGTGAGCCATGCTCACACCAGTCACCAGAGCCGACGAAGAGTCTCGGGCTTTGGCCTGACTCCCTGGACAGGAAGTACTGTAAGGCCCCCTGGAGTGTTGTCACTGGACACAGGGGACCTGGGAGAGGAAATTCACAGAGGACTGCACTCCAGTATCCACTCCCCACTCCCAACGGCCAGTATTTCTCTCCGCCTGCCTTCTCTCCTGCTTTGTTCATCTTGCCGCCTTGTCTCTTCATCCCATATTCCATTTCTGCTATGTCTCTGTGTCCCTCATCCTGTGCCATTTCCCCTCTTTTCCCTTTGTCTTCCTCTGACCCCTTTTTTCTTGTTTTCTCAGGCTGGGAGTTTTAGATCTGGGAAGGCCATTGTGCTAAGGGGTCGGGGAAAGTGTTTTTCGTCTATAAAGGAGAAGAGGGACCCTTTTCCCACTCTTTCTCTCTTTGGTGACTCTGGATGCTAATTTCAATAATTTCCCCTCAACCTGAGTCCAGGGGTTTGAGACCAGCCTGGGCAAACTGGCAAGACCTTTACAATAAATCAAAAAACTATCTGGGTGTGGTAGTGCTTGCCTGTCACTCCAGTTACTTGGAAGACTGAAGCCAAAGGAGCACCTGAGCCCAGCAGATTGAGGCTATGGTAACCATGAACGTGCCACTGCACTCTGGCCTGGGCAACAGAGTGAGACTCTGACTCAAATAATAATAATAATAATAAATTTCCCCCCAATGAGCCATGAACCTATGAGGGCTTGGTGCTGGTGATCTAGTTTGCCAGTACACTTAGACCTGTACCTGAAGCACTAACTTGGCCCCACACTCTTGTCCTGTCAACAAGCATCAGTTTCCACTTCTCCTTGCTGTCCTCTCTCATTGCTCCTGCTTGGGTAACTGTGAGGTCAGCTCCTTTGAGTAGCTTTTCTGTAACCAGTCCCTACGCCCTGCCCCCACAACTGCCAGCTCCCGCACAGTGCCACGCACTCCTGGTGCCACCCACTCCCCTCCCCCAGCACCACCGCACGGGCTTCAGTTCTGGCCTTTTATGGTTTAGTTTCTTATTCTCTGCAGCCAGTGCTGACAGGGCCATCAGCATGGCTGCCCGCCAGCTGGCAGGAGCAGCATGTTAAATGCTGTCCTGGGAGGGGAATGGAATGGAGGAGAGCGGGGCTTTCTGTCTGCCTCCCCCTCACAGAGCTAAGAATAGAATTGCTCAATAAAATGAGGACTTGCATTGATGGACACAGCAAGCCACATTCATTCAGAGCCAGTGAATTTAAAGTCAGTCCAAAGTAAAACCGGATTAAGTGCAGACTTACCTGTGCCTCTCCAGGGACATCTGTGTATTGTCTGATCAGGGTTTATTAAGTAGATGTACAACATAAATGAGAGAAAACAGGAATCGTTTGGACTGCTCCGGACAGTTTTCAAGTATTTTAAAAGCATCCATTCACAGGTCAGCTAAATAAGGTCAGACTAACACAAGTTCTACTTGTTAGCAGTAAACTTCCCTTATTGGATTTCTTTAAAGGACGACTTTGTTTCCAGATAGTCTTTGACTCTTATTTTTTAAACAGTAAAAACCAGCCTTTCCCTAAGTTAGCATAAGTGAGTGATGTTTAGCTATTTTAGAGACTTATTATTATTATTATATTTTAAAAGGCAGCATAGGAATTTGCAGTGCTTGGAGCCTCTTCCTGCTCCTGCCCCTAAGGGGAGTGAGGGAGGGCTACTTGCTCCAGGAGAGGGGGAGAGCAGCACACCAGATGGATTCCTTAACATCACTCACCCAGCACGAGAAAAACAGGGCTCCTTGCATATCTTTAAAGGAGAAAAACAAAGTAGAGAGAACTCCAAATATCCAACAATCCCCAAACACTACCTGAGTTTGGAACTTGCATGATTTTTAAAGGCAGAAGATTTTCCTTCAAAATGCTTGGCTCAGGCTTAAGCAAGATACCTTCTTGATCTCATTCTGCCTGATAGCCTGGAAAGTACTGAGCCCTGGAGCGGGAGTCGGGAGACTTTTTGGAATCTCCTTTTGGCTCTGCCACTGACTGGTGGGGCATTCTTTTTTTTTGAGTTGGAGTCTCACTCAGTCACCCAGACTGGAGTGCAGTGGCCGCTCCGGCCACCACAACCTCGACCTGCTGGGCTCCGGCGATCCTTCCGCCTCAGCCTTCCAAGTAGCCTGAATTACAGGCATGCGCTACCACGCCCGGCTGATTTTTTGATTTATTGTCGAGATGAGGTCTCGCTGCCCAGGCGGGTCTCAAACCCGCGGGCTCAGGCAATCCACTCACCTCAGCCTCCCAAAGGCGCGGGATTACAGGCTGAGCCACCGAGCCCAGCTCTGGTGGGGTATTCTTAAGCAAAGTGCCTTAGCTACTGAGGGCTAGACTGATCCAGGTAGATGACCTCTGGGGACCCTCCCAGCAGCTACTGCTGTCCCAGGGAAGGGACATCTAAACCAGCCTAGACGCAGCCACAGGTCTTCTCCAAACATGCAAGCACAGAGACCACAAGGGCAGTTACTCTAGTGGAAAGCTGGCAGATGAGATCCTCCGTTTTCCCAGAAATGAGAACATTTGCTGAGCAGAAAATCCTGGAGCTGATGCCATCAGAGACCCTTTTCTCAGACTCAGCAGAGTTTCCCATTCTGTTAGTCAGGTCTCCAGGGAGGCCTGGAAGAATTCCGAGGAAGTGTCTCCTTTGCCAGGCAGTGCCCAGGGTCTCCCCACTAGTCTAAGTGTCTTTGATGTGGAGGAGAGGCTCATGGGAGCCCTCTTGTCTGAGGATGTCTGTTCTTTTCTGAGGATTTTCAGTCCTTGCTAGTTCAGACCCCATGTGGCGCTCTGTAGGTTGGGAAGAAGAGAAAGCATCAGGTGGCTCTAAGGGTGGAGGTGGGGGTGGGGAGAAGCTCCAATCTTGTAAGGCTTCAGACATGGGTCTTTTCTGAACTCCTTAATTTGGTATCAAATTCCTTGTTAGTATTAAAATTTCACTTAGAAATAAAGTCCCCTCCCCAAATTTTGCATTTTTTCATGTGCTGCAGGACTTACATATCACTTACAAACTTTCAGTGACAGGGTACAATAGTCTCTCTTTTATGATCCTCATTTCTCAGTTTTCTTTTCTTGACCAAAGCAGAAGTGAGATCCCTCAGTGGAGGTGTCTACATTTGTGCATAAGCCTACATGACTCCAAATGCGTTCAATCACGTGTTTCCAGGCAGCCTTCTCTGGGGGGAAGCAGTGAGTCTGTCTTTCATCCCTCTTTAGGCTTTTTTACTTCCTTAGCTGGGTCTTGAGAGGACCCACTTGTCTCTAAGAGAGTTTGGAGTAATAAACATCTTAGCCAACACCAGAAATGTTTCTAAAAAGACCAATATATCTCAGAACAAACAGTTTTTCTAAGAGAACATATTAAACAACCAGTGAAAGTGGTTCCATCACAGGAGGCCTCCGGCATGACTGCCGACACTGTGAAGTGGCTCTGTCACAATCCCAGAATCATTCGCAGGGTCAGGTCCAGACTTGTGTTGTTGGGGATAGACAATTTCTGGGCTCTGCATTCTGGGCTGGAATGTGGATCAGCAAGGCTGGGGGAGGGAGTGAGAATGAATATGCTTATGAACATGAATATGTTTATGTATATAGATACATGCCTACAGATTTTTTCCCTCCCCATATACACAGGATCACTTGCAGGAATTCCTTTTAACCTTTCTTCTTTCCTGAGGGTAGGATAGTAGGAATCAAGTATTTTACCTGTCTGTATATGCTTACTTGATGCTTGCAAACAGACCCAGAGGTAGGTACCTATTAGTACCATTTTCCAAATTAGAAAGACAGTCAAGCAAACTGGATTCGAATCCGCTGCAGTTCACATAGCTTAAAAGCATGGTTTTGTTTTTTATTTTACTTTATTTTTAAAATTCATGTTTCCTTTGTTTACTACTCCTAATCTGTAATAGGCAGAATTGGGAGAAGCCTAGCTATAAACATACTGGCCCAATTCTCCACTCTTCTTGGTACCTTGAAGTTACAAACATTAAAAGCATGGTTTTAATTGCTAATTTGTAAGGTTTCCTGAACTCAAACTGCACTGGAGGAGATGAAGGGTTACAGAACACAGATATCTACAGAAACTAAATCTGAAAATGGGAGAGTTTTGCTCAGATAAGCAGCCAACAAAATCAGCAAAATTGAAGAACCTCATTAAAGCACTGGCCACCATAACTTGAGTTGAAGTTTGGCAGCACCACCGTTTGCTGAGCCCAGGACATCTGAATTGGAAGAAAATTAGTCAAAAGAGTCACTTCCTATTTGTGTCTTCAGCTCATTTTCTGTCCCTTACACAGGGATGGCTGTGATTTGCTATCATGGTTTACTTTTGAAATTCTGTATATCTCATTTTATACCAGTCCTGTGAGAATAAAAGAGGTAGAGGAGGAGTAATTTTCTATGTGGCATAAAGTTAGAAATAAACTCTTGCAATAATGATGACTAGTCAAGTTGGCTGCTTTTCTAAGAACGTCTCAGAATAACCTTGTGATCCAAGTGCTATTAGAATCTACATTTAATGGATGAGGAAACTGAGGCACAGAGCAATTAACAGCTAGCTACTGAGTGAGGGCAGATATGTGTTCAAACCTGAATCTGTCTGACTTCTAAGCTCAACCACTGCACTACGCTGCCCCTTGACAGGGCAGGCATTTCCCAAGTCCCAGAGAAAGTGGAGGCAGACCCCTAGTTATGTCATAGGTCCTTGGCCTAGGGCCTGAAGGACACACACACACTGAACGCTCTCTCAAAACATTTTTGGCTGGGAAACAGTTCACGTCTGCTAGGCAGTTTCCTAGATCTGTTTACACTGAGAAATATGTTTATGACTTGGGCAAAGTACAGGAAATCATGACTTATAGACCAGAAAACTAGTCAGAAAAAAAAGTTATTTTGAGCAAATAACTACACATGAGCTTTCTGTACAGGTGGGTTTGTACATAGCTCCAACTGTGATGTGTAGACAAAGGAAAGAGCCAGGACCAGGGACCTTAGCATGGGTTCTCTAGACCACTTCTCCTCCATGACAGAGCTTATTCAGAAACTTTCTTTTCCTGCACTTCTGGAGAGGTTGGGTGACATTGTGCTTCTCTGTCCTCAGATAAACCAGACCCCCCAGCTGGCACACCTTGTGCTTCTGATATTCGGAGCTCCTCACTGACCCTGTCCTGGTATGGCTCCTCGTATGACGGGGGCAGTGCTGTACAGTCCTACAGCATCGAGATCTGGGACTCTGCCGACACGACGTGGAAGGAACTAGCCACATGCCGCAGCACCTCTTTTAATGTCCAGGACCTGCTGCCTGACCACGAGTATAAATTCCGTGTTCGCGCAATCAATGTTTATGGAACCAGTGAGCCAAGCCAGGAGTCTGAACTCACAGTGGTGGGAGAGAAACCTGAAGGTAGGCTGCCTTTACCTCATCACTGACTCGAAATGTGTGTGACTGACCTTGTGTATGTAGAAACTGTCCTGAGAGGGATACAGAGGAATTGAGAAAACATCAGCGATGACTGGCAGAGACTTTTGGGGTCTTGATTTCCAAGGTAATGATGTTGTTCCACTTAAAATAAGTACATGCGAACATTCAAAAAGCATTGAATCGGCAGTTTGGCACACTGCCACCAGGAGTCGACAGTGTGTTAATCAGAAGGCGCTCTGGTAGACCTCAAATCCCTACACCCACCCTCCACCTCCTCCCTCCTTCTCTTGCATTCAATTTGAAGTCTACTCAGTGTCAGATACTTGGGACATAAGATAAAACAAGGAACTTAAAATCAAAACAAGGAATAAATGTGTATACAGCTAGCTGTAATGAGAAGGGATGCATCCTATTATAGTGGTGTAAACAAAGAGCCAAGAGGACACAGCAGAAAACATGGAGAATTTTGCCATGGAGACTGAGGAAGCCTTCCTGGAAGAGATGACACTTAGGCTGGGTCTTGGGGAAAGGGATAGAATTTTAAGAGACCAGGAAGATAAGGAAAGGCGTTCCATGCAGAGGAAATAGCATGAGCAAAAATAGAAAGTGATGGTAATGTATGACATTTGAGACACTTGTGTATGGCCAGGGCATATGTTGTATAAGATAGAACAGGAGGAAATAAGACTAAAAGGGAAGTTAGGTAAAATTGTGAAATTTATCAGAGATTCTCAGGCAGGGGATTGAGTGAGAGGATTGTTGTTGTTGTTTTGAGTTGGAGTCTAACTCTATCTTCCAGGCTGGAATGCAGTGTCATGCTCTCAGTCACCCCAATGTTGAACTGCTGTGCTCCGGCAATCCTTCTGCCTTAGCCTTCCAAGTAGCCAGAACTACAGGTGCACACTACCACTCCTGGCTAATTTTTTATTTTATTGTAGAGATGAGGTCTTGCCAAGTTGACCAGGCTGGTCTTAAACCCATGGACTCAGGCAATCCACTCGCCTCAGCCTCCCAAAATGCTGGGATTACAGGCTGAGCCACTGAGCCCAGCCTAGCTCTGTTTTTTAAAGAACAGAACTAGGGAAGGCGCAGAGATTTGCTATTCAAAGTGTGGTTGTGAACCAGCAGCCTTGGCATCCCTAGAGCGTGTTGGAAATGCAGACTTTCAGCCCCTGACTCGAATGCTTGAGAAGCACTAGTGTGCAGGGTAGGCCAGAGCTTGGATGCCAATGGGCCTCTGTGATGGGAAGAGCACAAATTAAACTTGCAGGAGGTAGAACTAACCATTTGTGAGAACTTTTTGTGTAGAGAATTGAGGGAGAACATTAGAAGAGTCTAAGATGATTTCTAGTTCCTGGCTAGGGTAACTGAACACAACTTCAAGAGCCATTAGAGGTTTATTGTTATGATTAATCTGGGCTAACATTTTGAGCACTTGCTCTATGCCAACATGTTAATCACTTTACAAGCATCATTTAATAAATTCTAATAACCTAATGAAGTAGATACTGTTATTACCCCCATTTTACAATAGGGGAAATGAGATTTAGAGCAGGGAAACTACTTGCCCAAGATCACAGAATTGTAAATGCGAGTTGATGCTTGAACTCAGAGCTGTCTGGCCGAAGCCTATGTTTCTTTGGTTAGACTGAGGAAGAGGTCAGGCTACCTTCCAGGTTCCTGACTTCAGGGTCTTGGAGGTTAGATAATAGAGTCTGGGAGGAGATGGGAGGTCTGGTTTCAGCCCTATTGAGTTGAAGTATCCGAGGTATATCCAAGGGGAAGTATCTTCAGACTGTTGAGTCTAGAACCCAGGAGAAAGGTGGAAGCTAGTGCTATAGATTTGGGATTCTTCCGTATTTAATTGATCATTGAAGTCATGCTAAGAAGAGGGTAGGAGAGAAGGTCAACACCAATGCCATCATGAAGGAGCCTGTGAGACCAGGAGAAAGGCCTGAGAAGGGAGAGAGACCCAAGAGCAGGCTGGAGTCCCGTAGAAACAAGGGAGGGAGCAAGTTGCAAAGAGGGAATTGCATCCAATGTCAAATAAAGATGAAAGAGAGAAGGACTCAGAATGGTCTTTGGATTTAGCCCTTTGCTTCACAGGATCTTTGAGATCAAAGTCCATAGCATTTCAACTGGGTGGGAAAATGGTTGCCCTGGTTAAGGATTAAATGGAAGAAGGAGAGACCAGTAGCATGGAATATTATTTCAAGAAGTTTCATGGGAAGAACAGGAAAAGGATGCTGTGAATTTAGGATAGAAAAAAGGCTGGGGGCAGGGAGAAGGTCGAGGAAGTCCAAGGGAAGAGAGCCCTTGGAGAGAGGAGAGTTTAAAGGTGAGAGGCAGATCGTGGGAGACTCAGGACCAAAGGAGACAGAGAGGGAGCAGACCTGGAGTCTCCAGGTAACTGGAGGCTTCAGCACTAGGGAAGCTGTCATCCAATTTGAGGCCTCTTTCATTTTGAAAATTAGATATAAACTGGTATTAAAACTTTACTTTCAATTAAATGAGGGCTCCAGAATGAAAGTTAGGGGAATACCAGCAGAAAACAAACTTGACAATTGCATGAGAGCAGCTGTGTGCTCGGTGGCCCTTACCCACTGAGCCCCATGAATAGCAGGTGTCCTTGAGAGCTATAGTGCAAGTCCCAGAGGCGTGGTTGCCAGCTCTGGGACAGTCTGGGCTGGCCTAGGCCTCTTCGCAGCATTCACAGGGCTCCCAACCACTAGTGACGCCCAAATGTTTGTTGGGGGAAATCAAATGACCTCTCTCCCCTCTTGTGCCCCTCCCAGCTGGGAGTAGACAAAGGGAAATGTTGAAATTGCTTGAAATCTAGAGAAGGGGTCCAGGCCACCCAGGGCTTCCAGATAGGAAGCTGCTACTCACTGCTGAACTTTCTAAGGGCGGGGG